AACTACATAGCCAATAGGCGGACTCGTATACATACAGATGATGTAAAGGGCATGTTCATTTATATCGAACGGCGTCAAAATTCCAGTTTGGCAATGGTAAGTATTTGAAATAGCAACACTTTTTTGTTGAATGGCTGCTGGTTTTTGTAAATCGTTGGTTCTGGCGATGTTCTGATGATTCTCTGGAGAACTAAATTTTCATAACAAACTGCGATGATATGTAGAAGTTTGTTAAGATAGAACATTTACGCCACAAACAAAGGGTAAAACAAAATGAAATATCGAAAAAGCAACAAAACCATCGCGGTCAAGCGTCATTCTGAGGTTATGACTCGAATGAGCAGATAACCGCCTGCTCTACTACACGAAATACGACTTTTTTCATTTTCTTTTTCTTAGTGGATTTTATTATAATTGTGATGCAGAATAGTGAGCTTCTTCTTTGTACAAGAAAATCAGGCAGAAAATATTATGAAAAATTTCTTCATTCTAACAATAAACTGCACTCGAACAAGTCAAACTACTCGGAGAATAACTTTTCATGAAAAAAAATCAATTTGTACCAGTTCAACTCTTGCTTACCCTATTACGGATTCCAGTGCCTTGATGGACATTTTTTTCTTTAATTTATCAAAATAGCTCATTTTATTAATTCCTGAAGTATGATGATCTGTAAAAATTATTCAAAATATGTGTGCTTTCACAACTTCATCATTCTTGTAAATAGATATTTTAATGTCATAGCCGGGTAATGAAGAAAAATATAAAGCCAGCGCTGACGACATATTTTCAGCGATAATGTGCTGTTGCAACGCATTGTGTCCTCAAGGTAATGATAAGGTTTGTCGTGAAGTGTTCTTTAATGTTTTATCGCACAGTCAACTCAATCAAGTTGAGAACAAATATAAGTTTTGTTTCATGACAAACAGCATAAAACAATCAACGGCGTATTGACGAGAACACATAAATTTCTTTTTCAAAAGTGCACACGGACATAGTTAGCGAGATATTCTTGCTTTCGTCTACCACTGAAATATATGTTGAAAGTCGGTGCTGTTAATGTCAAACTGTAGTCAAATGAAACATATCTTTTTCTCGAAAAAGTCTTTTTTTGTCATAGAAAATCAATTTTATCACACTCAGAGAGTATAGGAACGTTTTGGAATTCTAATCTCCTGAAATTGCTTGATATAGATTCATGTCATTCATCATATAATTCTCGGTGCTTGAAATCTAAGCGTAATCATAATTATCTCTGAGTTTTTATTTCTTAACATTTAACTTAAAAATTTCTTCACTGAAGCTTTCTAAGAATGGAAGGTCGAAACATACTCCGTTGTGCTTTGTCGGTCTTCTTGCTTATCAGAAATCTTAGATGCGTACCTCAAAACAAATATACAGGCCATTCATGCAGATGCACATCTTACGTGCTCTGTCATAGACGATGTGAGATTGCATACAGGTGTACTTAAAGGATAAACAAAAGCACAACTATACCCACACCCTGACATGTTGCGGAGTGATCTATTCCTTGTTCGTCTTGCCATCGAATACTTAGACTAAAATAACCGTGTCCTATTACAAAATCGTCGAACTTAATATTTTCGTCGAAGGAGCACGTCAAAGTGCAAACAAGAGTACTGTGACGTATTCAGTAAGTGAATCTTTCAACATGATCCTCATGAACATAGATCGATGCTTGTCTACACCCAATATTACTGTACAGACTGAATTTTGCGGCGAAATCGGTGAAATTCATGTCTACTCGAGATAATTAACAATTTCTGATATTTTCTTCACGTTTCATAAGCAATTTCATTTAGTTTAACGGAATACTTTACGCTAATCGATTTCGAGCGAAATATTTTATTCATGCATGTTGCCATCAAGCATTTTTGTTGATTAGTACAGATTTGCATTCATGAAATGCATAGTTATTTACTTCAGTGAAAACACTGAAAGAGAGTGAGGATGTGAGAAATGCATTCGTGAGCGTGTCATAGCCAGGAACACCGGGACACATTCACATCTATACTTAATCCACAGCCAAATTTCACATGCACTGCCACACCCACACTCTCTTCTTCACTTGATCTTCTAAAGAAATATTCTTTTCTTCGGTGCAAAATTTGTATTTTCTTCTTGCTGATTCTCATACCAGTTAACCGAACTATGACATAGGGCATCCTCTCCAAGAGCATTTGTGTTGTCAAGCTGTGAGAATTAACTTTCCATAGAACAATTGAATAACTCTTGTTTTTTCTCAGCCTAGAGGTTATCGCTTCTCATTATCTGACGTGTGTATGATGGAAAGGTACTTAAAAACTACCAACTTCTAGGTGTTTGTTGTGTATTTTTCTTTTTGCGCAAGCAATACAATTCAATAAATATTTTCGCATAAAGGAGGCATACACTAAAAAGAAGAGAGTCGCATACAATGGTATAACGATAGAGAAATTGATTAAAGATAGATATATACACTTTCCAAGCTAATTAAGATTAAGAAACAGATTAGATTTTTTTCAACACAGTTAGTGTGACCTTCTTTGACTAATTATGTTGCAGCAAAGTTTCTCAACTCAGGAAAACTTTATGCAATGAAAAAGGTTGATTTTTCCTTTTTTTTCTTTATAGGAAGAAAACCGTCTTCGTATGAAAGTCAAAAAAGTTTTTAGACACTTCTAACGTTGAAGACCTTCATGCCAGTGATGGTTGATCGAAGTTATATTTTATAGAACGCAGAATTAGTGAAAATTTCTTAGAATTCAATGCTAAGCCTTTAAAACCTGGTTACGCTTATGCCATTGATACTATTTACCAAAGCGAAAATTCTTTTTCACCTGGTAAAAATTGTGTCTAAGGCAGGCACACTTTTGACAATAGGTTCAAAAATCATAAAAGTTACGAAAACCATATATCAGAGTTCTTAAGTCAATCATAACTATATAGTCATTACTCTTTCGCGAAGCGAGAAACTTTGATTTCACTTCATATCTTGTTCAATAAGAGCCTATTTAATCCAGTATTTTTTGGCAAAGAGTTAGCAAATCTCTACTTCATGTTTGTTTTCCAACGTTTTAACTACTGAAAGCAACAAAAATTTCCACTTATTGATGTGGAAAGGGAGGACCGAGTGTCACACCGTCGCATATGGCAGCTTCGAAACCTGCTACAAATCACTTATCTGCTCGCCTCGGGTGTAGACTCGAAGTTCTGGATATGGTCATATCGCTGAGAAGTAGACGACGAGCCACCCATACCATTTCTTTATGAAAATATTTTACATTGAGTCAAGTAACGAGAAATGAATATTTTCTGAGTGTTCAACTATTTTCAGAAACAAACTCTATATCCGACCATGATAAGTTGTTTCTAATTTACAAGAGAATAAAAAGAATAGCTGAAAACCAAAAGTGCTGCTCATTACTTTTTCGACTATTCAAATAATTTTCATTCGTTTATCGGCCAAAGCACGATAATTTTTATCAGAAAAATAATTTTTGACATTGTTTCTACAAAAAGGAGAGTTCCGTGAAGATGGACGTTGGTATGCGTGTTAGTGCTGGTGAGAAGCACCTACACCCTATGAGAACGATGAAACTGAAGAAGTTGTACCTTTGAATCTTTTTATTGGATAAGAATTTACTTTTAATTTTAGAGATGTATTGTTACTGTTAAGTTCTTTTTTACACTTAAGCGCTAAATCGTAACGAACTATAACATATTAATCACCTTCCCAGGTCAATTTCGCTTGATCGAATCTCATCCAATGAGTTTGACTTCGATTGCATACGACGATCGGATCTGATTAGATAATTACCTTCTAATGTAACCCATTTACCCGATTCAATACATTCCGATGAAATTAAAAAAGTGCATATTTTACGCACAAAAAAACGCATTTTTGGTCTTTCTTATCTAGTTTGATAAGACCGACCTTATATAATACAACCGAAGACGAGACAAAGAGAATAGACAATAAAAAAGAATAGTGACTTTTGCAATCCATCTCCATTTGAAACATGACGCTAGAAGAGAAAGACATTTGTGCTGATCCAACAAAAATCTTTTGTCGATTGAGAGGAGAGAAGAATTATCGTGAGTATGAAACAAATTAAAAACGTAACTCATTAAACAATCGTATTCCATATAAACAACGAAGGTAGAGCGAACGACGATTTTCTGTTCTTTTTAACTTAAAAAAATAGTTTATGATTCGAAATAGTAAAGAATACAATTTGTCTAGAAGAACAACTTTAGCACAACAAGTAGTTTCTCATTCTATTAATATCTAAGCGCAGAGGTTCTTGTTCACATCTATCCAGATTGTTACTAGAGTAAACTTAATGAATTATTTACATAATTATCAGCTTCCTAACGTGCGTTCTCCCTTGTTTTTTCTTATCTGACTTATCAAATAACAAATACTCGGTTGCAAAAGACGGGAGTGTATTGGAATTGAGCCCACATGAGTTTATTCTATAATAAATGCTGAATACCATCGAAAAATTCTTCACCAAGAATCTGATTAAAATTAATTTTTCACCCTAAAACATCGGATTCGTCAATTTTTTTTCTATCAAGTATTCTAATCTGGTTTAATGAATCAAGAAATATTAATAAAGGATATACGGAACGAAAAATTTATGTATGTTGAGAAGGAAGATCAAGAAGCAGCAAGTACGTCGTATGATTATCTTCTACATGACACGAGCAATCCAGTGTAGTAGTGAGTAAGGGATGAATGATTCCTCACGAATCTAATCAGTATGATATAAAGCTTGATTATGCTACTTTTAATAGTTATTATTAATATATTGTGTTTCTGGAAAAGTTGTTTATTTTCTGTGATTGGATAAAACATTAATAATTCTATAAAAAACTGTATACTTTTCATTTGATTAGTTTTGCTTCTTGATCAAAGAATTGTACGTTTGGATAGACAGTAAAAAAAATGGATTGTTTGTACATCTTAGGAGTTCGTTTAGATATCATTCAAGATGTTCCGTAATGCCCTAGTGACTGGTGCTGCCCGAGGAATCGGACGTGCAATTGCTCTTCGTCTTGCCAGAGACGGCTTCAACGTTGCTGTCAACGATATTGAAGCAAGCTCTTCTGATCTCCAGAAAGTGAAACAGGAAATCGAAGAAATCGGTCGAAAATCGATCACTGTCATCGCTGATGTTTCGATTGATAAATCGGTCGAGTCTATGATGGAAGAGGTCGCACAAAAGCTCGGTAGTCTAGATGTACGTATCATCTTGATTTTTGACTCGTTGACTTTCCTGATTAATAATATAGGTTATGATCGCTAATGCGGGAATAGTCCAGGTGAAACCAATTCTTGAAATCACTACAGAAGATTGGGATAGAATGTTTGCTATCAATATGCGTGGTGTTTTTCTTTGCTATAAAGAGGCTGCTAAAGTTATGATTGAGCAAGGTACAGGGGGCAAAATTATTGGTGCCTGCAGTATTGCTGGATACAAACCAGTTTCAATGCTGGGTCACTATTCTGCCAGTAAATGGGGTGTACGTGGCCTGACACAAGCGGCTGCCATGGAATGGGCCAAATACAAAATAACAGTCAATGCTTATTGTCCAGGTATGTTTCACACTGCTTTTAATATGAACATAGAAATTTAAATAGGAGTCGTTCAAACTCCATTGTTGGATACGATTGACGAAGGATTAGCAAAATATCGAGAAAACCATGAAGAAGCCATAAAAAATCGGCCGAATCAAATTTGCCTTGGCCGTACCAGTGAACCGGATGACGTCGCAAATTTGGTTTCATTCCTTGCAAGCAACGATTCGGATTACATGACTGGACAAAGTATTATAATTGATGGAGGCATCGTATTTTCTTAAATTTCCATGTACATCTATTACAAAAACCACTCGTCTTCAAGTCTATCTATTTCAACAGAACTATGTATGCTGAATTTCTTTGTTTCGATTAATTCCAAGACAACGCTGAATCCATTACAAGTTTAGTTTTAACGCAGTTTTGTTACCAATTTTTGATTATCAACAGCACATCAATAACTCTATCAGTTGAAACTACGTAATTTTCATATCTGCACAATCTATATTGTCTCCCCAATAGCATTTGAAATAAAAAAACCTAGCCCTCTAGCTTTGTTCTTGTCGTTCGAAGTTTAGGATGCACCGATGATACCAATGTACAGAAAAGTAATGAAGTCATTGGTAAATGAAATTTTATTTATGACGATGCAACTTCTTGCAATAACATACGCGAAAAACAAGATCTTATTTTTGAATTTTAACGTGACGAGTTGATTCAAGTAACCACGCATTTCTAAAGTAAACAGAACACGACGAACACTGTTTAGCTACATATGTACTGCTTCCTTCTTCATGTCAAAGGTGAACAACTCTCTCGATTTCACTACTATCATCTCTATTAGCTCAAAGCATGAGGCGTTTTCTTCTACGATGGCACTAGTCGAGGCAGACACGGCACATTTTCACCCATCAAAATACATTATTGTATACGTTCATTTTATGGTTCCGTTCTGGAAAAAGTTGCATAGTGTGCCTGCAACAGAACCAAATAGAGATCGTATGAAATATTGAAATTGTTTCTGACAAGAAAGACTAAATCACGGATGTCCCGTAATAAATGGCCAGTTTTTCTATTTCGTTTTTTAATAATCTAGTACGTTTGTTTTAAAAAAAAAATATACCATAAGATGCAGCATGAAAGGCTCTATAGTTTACAAAGAATAATTTATTTTATATATGTACCTTTTGTTTTAAAAAAAAAGGAAAATTTTGTGCGACCAATAAATGATCTTTTGCAATTTGTAGAGCTTTTCACGCTGCATCTCATAGTATATATTGCTTTAAAAATAAATGCACTAGATGATAAAAAATAGAAATAGAAAAACCAGCCATTTATTATGGGACACCCGTTAATTATCAAAGAGTCAAAATAACTATAATAATATTTAGTAACGTTAAGCTTCAACTGTTTATAATATATGATAGATCAATAAACCAAATCATTTTAGGAAAGGTGCAATCGTTTCAGTCATTGAATAACTATTTATCTGCTTATAATTAGCTATTAATTTCATTCAACTATCTGTGAAAAAAGTCCAAATAAAGGTAGATGTTCAATAGCTGGTTACACGAAGAACTATCATACAACATTTTGTTAAAAATATATCAGCTATTTAAATCATTAAGTAGCTGTATATTATTCGAAAGAATATCTCTGTTGAGAAATTATGGTGGATGTGACGTGAGTTTAGATGAGTGTGGGTAAATAGAAAGATTAGACTCAGATTTACTCTGATACCCAAACCAACACCCTTCGATTAGTCTCGTAAAATAGTGGAAATTCGTAAGAGAGATAGACAATTCTTATATATTCAATAAGAAAAGTTTTATATAAAGATACACATATATTTCAGTCAATTATCTGTCGTCGTAATCACTCCCAGTAGTATAAAAATTAGTGAAAAAACGGTGGAGTAGAATGCAGTGACTTCACGGAAAAAATATTTGATAGCCAGAAACAAAAATTTGAATGAATGAAAGAGATAGCCTTGAAGAGTTTAAATACTAATTCATATTCTAATCGCATGATTATGTGCTGTACTATCAGTATACGTTCGTGGTCTAACTTGGCTCTAATCAGTTCTTTTCTCGAGGAGCTCGATGAGTTTTTCTTGCTGTTTCTCTAATTTGTCTGATTGTTGCTTTTGCTTGTATCGACCTTTTCTTTCGTGGTTGCACTCGTCTCGTTCTTCTTGCATGATGTTCTCTAAGAGAGGTTGCCAATAATCTTGAGCAATGCTACTTTCGCGTAACATGTTCTCACGTTCTTGAAATTTAGTCAGATCTAAACAAGGAATGAGACAAGAAACTCCTTAGAAATCATTGAAACCATGCTCTTACTGGTGATATCTTGTCTAAACGACACGGCGATGGATGGCTTTTGTCTTGTCTCATCGATCGTTTGTTCAATGTCATTGACTGATGTTTTCGATTGAACATCGTTGAAATGTGCTGTTGTTTCTGTTTGCGTACCGTGCATGTCATTCATCTCCATAATTAAACGAATAGGTTTATTCTTATCGAATGCCTCTTCCCTTTGTTTGCCATCATTCACAGTAAAGGTCACCGTGACGCCATGACGGGCACATTGAGTAAAATGCATTTCTTCTCTAATTATATTCTTGTCAACATCGTGTTCAACATAATAGCTGGCACATCCGATGGTGTATGGATCACCAGAGTTTTTGGTAAACTTGAATCCAACGTAGTCATTTTCCTGTACTTGGAACGGTTCAACTTTGAACTCCTGAATTCCGACAGATAATTTGAGATTGGTGATAGACGAGCTCGTCTGTTCTTGCACCAAAAAATGTTCGAGATCACTTGATATTGATTTAATAACGTATATTTTGATTTGTGCGCGGGGATCAGTGGGACATGTACAAAAATTAATTGAAATTTTATTGATAGAGCCAGCATGAACAACACGATTACCAACATTGAAGACAATCAAATCCGTCACATTAGCGTTTAATTCACTACTGTCATCGAGGAAACTGTAGACAGTGTCTGAACAAGAACACAAATCAGGATTAACTCACAAGAATCTTGAATTTGTTGGATCCTATTCATGTCCTCTCTACTATTTTCAGGGTAGGTGTGGAGGTAGGTGTAGCAAAACGACTATAGCTATGTACACACCCACATTCTCCAGTAGCTATAACCAATATGATTTGTTAATTGTACCGTAGTCGGCGAGATTCATTTCTAATGTGCTTACCTTTTTTCTTGCCGAGAGATCGAAACAATATAATGACTAGTTGAATGGCATAGTATAATATATTCAATGGCGACGGTATTGGAGATTTAATTGCATACTCTTTAACGAGTAGAAACCGATGATAAGCCCAATCTTTCTGTGCATTACTATTGGTTTTTGCGAGCGTAATACTAGAAGTAGAATAATGAATGCAATGTTATAGCGCAACGTCAGTTTAATGGTTCAGACTAAATTTTGTCGTAAAGGATGACATGTTGACCTTTTTTTCTAAGACCACTGAAAATAAACGAAATTTCTAGTACTCATCGTATTGACTTTCTCCTTGTTAAACGCATCGCTTTTTTACCCAGACTGACAAGAATTTCAGAAAATGCATTCAAATGCTATAAAAAGTGTTTATTTTGGGCGTTCAAACGTATGTCTGGTGAAATGATGATAAAAATCGCTAAAAAGAGTAAATTTTAAGCTTGTATACGTACATATTTTGCACTTACATTGTTTGTACCCGTTTACATGCGCTTTCAGAAATCTATGTCTACTTGAGTGACCATGTAAGTGATTTTAGCCATTAGATTTCTCCATACATTAAACGTTAATAGTCTACTTGACTTTGCAAATGAGTCAACTGAGTATATATCTGTTGTGTGCTATGATTTGTGTAATCTTAGATAAATACATGGCCTCCAAAGAGCTTTCTGTTTATCTAAACTGCTTCGTTAGATATTTCTTTCAAATTATAAGTGTTTTGAAGAAGTAGAACTTTGCAAAAATCTCTATCCAATTGTCTCTAAAATGTCGAGCGTAGAAAGTATTAAGTTTTTAGAAAACATTCTCAGATGTTAATCAAATTTCCATTGTTTTTTTTTAATCTTTTTTGATGAATGATATTTTCGCTACACAAGTTTGACAACCATCTTATACAATAGATATTGATGAGACCTATTCAAGAATGCATTGTTCCATGACAAAATCAGAGTACTTGGAAGTTCAGAAATCGTCATCGATTTCTGCTTCGTTTAGTTAGAATTTTGCTTTTGAATATCTATCGAATCTATGATGACAAGTAACANGGCGACTATAGATCCTACCTAACTATATCGATCGTTGGAACCTTCTTAGTTTTTGTCTTCGAACAGAATCAAACGAAACAGTGTTGCTCTTAAACTTTTCTTCACTACTTTAAATTCATCTTCGTGTCTTAATATATTTCACACAGTACTATTGCGCTTTTTCTTGAGAAGAATATTTCAATTTTTGCTGCAGAAGACAAAAAATGTGGATCGCAACAGAAGCCCACCGTTAAACTTAAAATTTTCAAAACAAAATAGAAGCCCAGAGTGCTTTTATTCTTGGTGGGGGATACCTAACTAAAGTAACATATGATGCAATAGTCATCGGACCAATGTGCGTCGCTACTTCTCTTTGATAGAAGATTGCTGGAAGAAAAGTCTTTTCACCAGAAGATAGAGCTTTTTCTCCTCTTTGGAATCGAATATAATTTATTGTTGTCACACATTCATAAATGCAATGACGCAACTGAAAAGAGAAGCATCCTTAACAAGGATCCGCACTTTTCTATAACAGAACTGCACAAAATGTTGATCCTTACATCTCTTCGATAAATAGGTTCTGAAAAGAATATTTTTTATCAATTGATAGTAAATTTTTTTCCTTCGAACAGTGTCTGACAATGGAACCTCGTGTACTGTTGAGCAAAAAGATTGATCATGTTCGGGTCAAATGATCACTTTCATCGAGAAACTAACGTATTTAAAATATGAGCTGCTAATGGCGTACCTGGACAGAGATATTCAATTTTTATGCTATGTATTATTCA